GTTTCTGAAATCATAGAGTGAAAGAATTAAACATAACACGTAGTGTGACCCTTCATTCCAGAAGGTATGTTTGATATCATACTGTATATTCAAAATCGGTATGCAACTATACGTCGTTATTTAATCAAATAACTCCTATTAATATTCATTTTAGATTAGTTTTCGATAAATGTGTGAGTGGAACCTTGCATAAATATATTTATTCGAAATATTTTAAAATTTTAAAAGTATCACAGTCATAAATAACATGCACTTGTTTTGGTTTCAATTAATTAATGAAATGTAATGATGTACACCTTGGCATATATCAATTGTGTGTGTGTGTGTGAATTTTCACAAATTACGAAAATCCGATTTTTTGACAAATAAATACTACCTTTGGAGAGTCACGGGTTGTCCCTATTTCAGAACAAAACAATTAATCTTGCCAATTACAAGTGACACTATACAAAATATGCGATGTATTTTATTTATTGACTAGCATTCCATTTTAGTGCCAATGGTTAATTATTAATAATATTCAAATGCATGATGCTATTAGCTTGAATGAACAATTACCATATTTTAAATTTCCTGCTGCGTTTCAGGCCGTGCATAACCTGGGCTACAGCTAAATATCTGTTTACTATATATAATGCCTGTTTACCAATTGTTTTATTTTGTGTGTATTTGAATGTTCTAAAATGAATCTGGACAGCGTTCTTTCTGTGTGGTTTATTACAGGCGTACGTGTGCCAAAGTTTTCATGTTGTAGTCTCTCAAATGTTTACATTATCTACGGAAACTCAAAGCGCGGTAGTCGTCGCGCAACGCATGCGCGAGATATATATGGGTCTCATATAAACAAACATGGCGACAAACTGAGACGTTACCAAGCTTTAATTGGGTATTTTGTGCTTTAGACAGTAATTCTTGTAAAATTTGTATGTTTTATATATGTGTTTTAGCAGTTTAATTTCTTCTGAGGAATTTTAAGTGTCTCAATAAACCTTTAGGTGATTGGAAGGTATCGAAGGAGTCACCGGCGGTAATTAGTTCAAGTCGCGCCAAGGTTCAAACGTCATATACTTATGATTCCCATTAGAAGTGCGCATTGGATTATGGAGAAAATCAACATAAATGTAGCACATGCGCGGCTACCGCCCTTCAATCAATGGCATGATGCCTATTCAAAAGTCAGCTCGGAAACAACACAATATACGCACGCGCAGAACTATGTGTCGTTTGTTTCATTAAACAGACATATAATTTAAGAAATCCACATTAGATACACGCATTTTCGTATTTCGCCGAATGAAAAAGCACGTTCAATTTTGAGAGCTCCAAAACCAAACTGCACATGATCGCGTTTTATACATTAGACCCATGTTGTCATGGCGGTTGACCCGGAAGTGAACCTTCGACTCTTCACCGTACACGACTCGTCGATAACACGGAAGAGGAAAGGATAATGTGATTTGTTCTGGTGAGCTTGTTTCAAAGCTTTATTTTAACTGCTTAGCTATATATGATGCATTTGTCACTCACGCTTCCGTCACTGCGGTCGCCGCTGCTTGCCATGTCCACGTAGTTGACCGTGATTGCCTTCGGCACGAGGTCTCTGGCAGGATATAGCACAATTTCATTTATTCTATGTTAATAAGCTTTGTGTACATGGTAGTGCTATAGAGGGGATATTCACATTGAGAGGTTTACGGTACTACAACATGGCCATTTGAACGGTCATTGAGGTTTTCCCAACTTTATTTTTAGTAAACATTGTCATGTGAAACATGTCAAATTGAAAAGACGGTTCCCATACATTATCCTTCCTGCTTCCCCTGCCTTGAATACGATTACACACGACTCCAACGGTTCTCACACCCGAAGTTACACGAAAACAGTCTACAATTGTCGCCGGCAACAATATGTATACACTTCGATGTATTTATGCACGAATGCATCGTAGCACAGTGATTGTGGGGGGGGGGGGGGTGTTCGCCGTCGTCACTGGGGTAATTTCTCTACAACAATTCCCTTTGACACAATCGGGTAAAGCACCGCTTTTCTAAGCCCGTGTTCTATCATTTGTAATGCCAATGTCGATCATAGTATTAACTAGTAACGTTGTATTGTGCCTTGTCTGTTTCATATACACAGGGGATCATAGGGAGGTCAATGAATTATATTATGAACAACAACTCGCTTATCACAGGACTCTGAGGATGTCGATATCAGTAATTGCGAAGAATGTTGGTACATTGACTGAAGGACCACACTGGGATCAAAACACGCAGACGTTATTATTTGTAAATATAACTACAGCTAGTGTTTTCCAATGGGGACTCGATGCAGAAGATCTGAAAGAAGTTATCGTGAAAGGAGGTATTATTGAATCGTGTATTTGCAAAATGTTGTTTGTTTTTTGTATTATTTAAATATTATAAAGCAGGATTAAGTGTAACAACCATATCTAAGTAATAAAATCTGGCAACTTAAGCTTTTCCTAAATAATAATATGAAGTTATTACGAGGATACCTCAAAGTATGCACGAAGACAGTACAGCGGAAATATCGACCGACTCACAGCGGGGGGGGGGTCGATGCGACGGCATACTTTGCAGTATCCTCGTAATAACCTTATTATTATACATCTTTCCTTTCCAGGGATACATCATGGGAATGCCGAAATCCAAAATGTTTAGAACAGAATCAGCGAACTTCTTTGTATTCATTTCATATTTAAAATTTGCACTTTCTAATATGGTAGGATGAAAATACCTCGCAAAATTACGGAACGCTGTAACTTATGGCGTTATGTTTAATAATAAATAATAATTGTAATTTATTATTTTATTCACTATTATATTTTGTTTTCATTCCTGTGTAATTCCACAATGCTATGTCTCAAATAATGGTGGTGATCGGGTTAGCTACATGTAAACATGATATTGGAAGAATAATTGCCAATATTTGTTTTCGTCTGTAGCACCCACCGTTGGTGCTGTTGTTCCTAGGCAACAAGGTGGATATGTCGTTGCTGCCGGGAGACACTTTGGTACTCTTGACATAGAAACTGGTGAGATGACCCGATTAGCAGAGATTGACAAACATAAAACAGAGAATAGATTCAATGATGGAAAGTGTGATGCCAATGGGAGATTCTGGGCAGGTATGTAATAAGTGATTTGAGGAATAAATATGTTCACTGGGCGCAACAATTATGTTGGCTAAACCAGTTAGGACAAGTTGCACTGAATTACTAGAATTCTCCACCCAGTAACAAAACAATACAATTAATATGTCTTAGAATGTCTTCAAAATGTTACGTCATATTCAACCACTTGTCTATGTTTACATCGCTTGCACAGCAACATATAAACCTACCAACATAGCCAAAAACAACTTGTCGGCGTGCAAAATACTGCTATGCGCTATATATCAATATATATATATAGGTCGCGCTCTGACGTTGACGCAGTCCGGATGTATAACAGTATATGTCGTTACGTAAACTCACGAAGACTCGTTGAACAAAATCGATTTGTGTCAATCGATGCCTAATTATTTTAAATGACTTTTCCGGGAACTTATTTGAAAAGTTACTGTATTTATTTCAAAAATTATATACATGTAAGCAACAAAAAGCACAGTACTGATTCTGAAATAATAAAAGAACAAGTATTTTTAATGATTTACGCTGCATGTGCACTTCTTTAAATGAATGCATTGCAACTCGGCAGTATTGTGTCGACGTTTTGTTCATCTATATTTTAGTGATGGTGACAAGTAACAAGAAGTCGAAAATATCACTTTTTACCAAAAATTACAAACAAATCGACCGGAAAATAATTTTTTTAGAACGAGGGTAATCTATGCTTCTTGGCTTATTATACAGGTACAATGGGTCCCAAGAAAGTGACAAGAGTTCCAGAACAAGGCACATTATATAGCTTGGATAAAGACCACAGTGTAAGATGTCACGTTGACAAAGTTACTACATCCAATGGTATAGCCTGGAATTCAGACAATACTATTATGTATTACATTGACACAGGCCTCAGAAGTGTGGATGCATTCGATTTTGATCTAGAACTAGGAACGCTAAGTAAGTATGTGTCAGTGACACTAGAATAACGAATGTATATATTTATATGCACTAATAGCAGTGAATTCATGTGAGAATGTGCAAGACAAACCACTTTCACAAAGAAAGATCTCTGTCATACCAGTATATGTTCCGTATACTTGTAATATGCATAGTATGATATAAACAAGATTGGGAGACAATGAAATGAACACAAATTGACAAGCACGACATACTGGGTGTTCGATTCTCTCAGATACGATTGGCACAATAACAAGAAAATCAGAACAAATGTAACAAATCACTATAGTACCATATTCGTGAGACGAAACATTTGTATTTGTACAATAACTTATTACAACTGAATTGTAATATTGCTGTTATGTAACATGTCTTGGCGTGGACAATGTTTCTTACATACATGATTTATGTTCCTTCCAGGTAACAGAAGAACAGCTGTCTCATTTACAGACTGTCCTGGGCGTCCAGATGGAATGTGTATAGATATTGAAGGAAAGCTGTGGGTTGCCATGTACTGTGGCAGTGCCATATTGAGAGTGGATCCATTATCCGGTGAGTAAGTTACCTGTATCTTGTTGACAGATGCGATTGCTCCTTTTTGCTGCTGTACTCCACTAAGTCAGTATTATTAATATGAAACTTACATACTTTATGAAAATTGCTGTCAGTATGCTATGCATAACATAACAGTATTTAATTTAGCATTTCTATGGAGTGATGAAAATTGTTCCGTTGCCTCTATTTGTCTTATGCTATGCTGCTTTATGCTTTGATAACATCTCTATATTTATTTCTTAAAACAGGTAAAATAATGCGTACAATTGAAATGCCAGTCTCCTGTCCAACATCATGCTGCTTTGGTGGTGAGAAGTTTGATGTGCTCTATGTTACCTCAGCTAGTCAGTTTTCAACACAAGAAGAACAACTTGCCAAGGAGCCATTAGCCGGATCTGTATTTCAAATAACAAATCTTGGTGTAACCGGTTTGCCAGCAAATACATTTAGTGGATAACTAAAGAAGTAAAGCTGCATTACCTTGTGAAGTAGTTTGCTTGTTTGCAAAGTGATTTGTTCAATTTCCAAGAAAATACAAATTATACCATATAATGATAAAAGTCATGCCAGGACAGGAATTAATAGTACAATAGATGTTGAAGATTTATACAAATACTACTTTTGAATTATTAATAAATGAATAAACTGATATTTGCTATTACTTATGAATAATCTCGAATTTGTGTACATGTCGTATACATAAACTCGTATGAAACATGCATAGTCAGGTGTGTCGCCTCATGTGTGTTTGTTTTAGGAAGTGCTTAAAAATAAAACAATTTAGAAGTAAAGTGTATAAATGTGTCTTGTACATTAACACTTTGCAAAACATTTATATTCTGGTGTTTTGGGTTGAAACATTGTTCGAATTTGCTGTCTAAAGTGTTCGAGAAAAATGTTTAAATCATATGTAAGAATACTCAGATGTGATTGGAACTACAACCACAACCTACCAAATGCGGAGTATCAAATTCCATTATGCAACGAGGTACTTAATTCACCACGTGTCTCAATTTCAAGTTGTACGTATAGGTTATTAAGACCATATAAGCGTGCATATAATTAATTCTTCCACAAGCTGGTGCTTCACGTATAAGTTTTTCTGAACGTAATGTAATGACCATATAATTATGCTCTGAATTACGTCATATGTCTAGTTAGCATATATACCATAATGGTTACTTTCGAGTCCCAGGCTTTTCACCTCAATTTTGTTAATCCTGTTTGCATAAAGTTGGATGCATTAATCTGAACATGTTTTTTCAATAAACACCTTGAAGACACATTTATGTCAATTTAAAACATTCATCGTGTAAAAAAGTGAATTTTTTGTGTCTGCTGGATTTTCATCAAAAATTGTTTTTATAACGCCTGAAAACACCTTTTTAAAATTCTAAAACACCACTGTTTTGATAGAAAATACAGGTGTTTTATAATATAATACACATGTTTTTAATTGCAGCAGTGTGCTTTCAATCAAAACAGCGTTGTAAAACCACTATATTCGTAAGTCCACCAATGTCATGATACAACTAATATTTTGTCTTTCTGCAAGGAAATTGAAATGGGTCCCATTCAGTTAAAAATATTTGTTTTTGAGTATTTAAATTAGGGCAAATTGCATCATATTTCTGGTGAAAAATTTGAATTTAGGAATTACCAAAATTCATTACCCAGGATATGAAATTTGTGTTGTGATTTCAAAACATATACAGCAAAATATTTTTGTTTCTGAATTTACTATTTATTCAAAAAGAGGTGATAAGAAAATAAGAATTGAAATTGTTAACATTATGTTTTAGTGTTTGTTATCAGTATTTAAAAACTAAACGAAACACTTTTTTAATTGTAATCTGTAAAATAGCTGTTTTTATAAAATCTTTTATATTTTTGACTATCAAGTTTAATTTTGGTACGTGTGGCAACAGTGGCCGGTCTCCCATTTAAAATCATGAGAGGTTGAGAAAATTGTTTTGTATAAAATATGTTGTTCACATATCCCCAACGAAAACGCTTGCAAACGGGCATCATGGTGTTGCCACTATTAAGGCTGGTTTATACAATCAAATCAATAAGATCAGTCAAATCTAATCGTGTTCACAGTTACACGCCCCACTTTTTACATGTCGGTTTATTATTTCAATAAAAAATGTGTTTCTGTGTTATAAACGTTCATAATGGCAATCCGATTTTATTATTAACAAATGGTATTGACGTGAATATTAGGAATATTAGTCACACTTTAAGTACGCTGTGTTGGAGATTTAATTAAACATTCTGAAATATTTACTCTCGAGCCGAGCATGCAACAACAAACAGCTGAGATCCACTATTTTGCTGTAACCCGTGACTCGACGGACTCCCCATATGGTTTGTTTGTTTGTTATAATTGACGGCTGAGGGTATTAATTATTCGGAGTTTGGCACAATGTATAGTCGTTAATCGAAAAACGTTATATTTCCAGAAGTACGAATGTCTGTCTTCGTTATACAGCAATAGCTTTGAGCACACAGATGCACTCGTGTGGGCGAGTTATTTTTAGGTGCGACAAAACTATGGTACACATAATATACTGGTCTACACACTGTCGAAGGCAACATATACGTTGAGAATAATTCATATTTATCAGAATATTTACTAATATTGCTATAAAACTATATTTTTATTTCATGTTTTTCCATGTATTCCGCTAATTCTATAAAGCCTCGTTTTCGCGTCCAGTCTTGTATATTACGTCTGATGGTTTGGCATACGTTAATTCTATAGAGCCTCGTTTTCGCGTCCAGTCTTTTATATTACACCTGATGGTTTGGCATACGTTAATTCTATAGAGCCTCGTTGTCGCGTCAGTATCAGTGTTACGATGACGTCAACATTGATATCACGTGATCATATAGCTATTAACACTAGGACACGTTTCAAATGTATAAACCCAGTAAAATGTGTGAGAAGCCTGAACATTAGATCCATGCAAATTAACGTAATATGTTATTTTCTGATGAGTGGAATTCCTCACAATTCTCAAAGACCAACACGCTCAAATATGCCGAATATGCGTAATTAGACTAAATGACGTCCAGAATCATGCTCAAATAAAAATCCAGACTTCAAGCGTCCATAATAAGTTTGATGCAGAAATCCCACACATTTACGGGACATTGATAAAACGCACATGCACATAAGGCAACAGGACAACACAACTACTCTCTGTAAACACATGTACAAACGTTGACACTATTTAATAGTCATCACAAATCTGATTAACTTTCACTATAAAGGCAAAGAAATAGACTGGACCAAAGGTTTCAACAAACAGGATGTTATCAAAACATGGATAAAAAGGTTCATCGAAATATCACAAAAAGAATTCGTGTGTCATTTATAAACACAAAAATCATGTTTGCAAAGCATGCACTCCGGGTTCTTATAAATTACCTCAGTTTAATCACTTCTTATTTCTATAGTCACCACTAAAGCTAATTCACTATTAGTGCACAGAAAACACGCATGTTTTTTTTACGTGTAAAAATAAATAAATAACATTTACTTTTTTTATATGTCATGGTTGTCACTGCATTGTACAACAATGTTTTATACACTATGCTAGTATTCATAAAACAATCGTGGCTGTGTGAACGCAAAGGCTAAAATTGGGTCATGTTGTATTGGTGAAGGATAGCCTTCCACGTGGAGCATGGAAAATGGGAAAAATTGTTTGTAGCCAAGATGGAAAGGCCAATATTCTTCTTCATTCAAAGAAGACAATCAGACGACCTTTGAACTTGTTTTTTCCCATAGAATTTCCATCAGTGATAGATAAACCCCCGGTGACACTAAGAATACCTTGACCAGTGTCTCAAGTAGCAGCAGTATTGGCTACGGAGAAATTAAAGCAGTATATTAATGGTGATGATTAAGCAACTCAGAATAGACAAATTTGGATTGTGGGAGTGTCGTAGAGACAGCGCCACTATGATAAATTATTTGTTTTGTTTTTGGCTTGGAAAGTTAGATGGCGCTGTTGCTTTACTAATTAAGATTTTACCAACATTTGCATAAATACTGCAACATCTTGTAATCTGAGTATATATCATTATTTATTTTGTTGAACAATTTGAACTAATTTTATTACTTAATTATTACTGTATCTATGTAACCAGACTGTTTTGAGTTACGTAGGTTAATCCCTTCCAACTAATTTAAATAATTGATATTAGAGCCAAAACCACATATAGAGTTATGGTTTGGCAGTATATAGCCAAGTGAATCCGCATAGGGAACCAGAAAAACCTGAAGTACTACAATCTTCAATACTACAATACAATAAAGCATTGCTAAATGAACATTCCAGAAGTTAGGTGAGCAGTCCAACCATATACTTCAATTCAGCATTGAAGTTCCTGGCTCATCTCGTCCAAGACAGACGTTCCTGGCTCATCTAGCTCGGCACTGAAGACCAAGTATGATGACCCATTGAAGTAGGTCAGATCCGGGGAGAAACCAAGCTCTCACTTCCTCACCCAGTAATATACCCCATGTCCTGAACATAAGGTGATTTTACCCTGATGATGCACTGCATCTTTTGATAAACCAGCTATTTTGATGGAGGTATTTGCTAGTGAGCTAAACATAGTCTGAATAAAGATATGATCATCTTGCAAAAATAGGATCATATCAAAACATACACAGGAAACAAAAAATTCACATTAAAAGCACTATGGTTATTTACCAGTCATCTTCAAAATACAGTCACCTAATTTGCTTGCTTGTATATAAAAACGAAAAACATAAAGCACATCAAAATTCTCACCACCAAACCAGCATGATGTTGGATAGGAAACTGGCATTTCAATGGTACGCATTATTTTACCTATAAAATAAGTAGATACAGATATATCATTGAAGTTTCGTTTTCCAAAGCTGCACAGCAGAATAAGTCTCCGGTACTGCATATAATAAGAATTACAAATTCAATAATCAGTCCAGTTTAATTTAAGGTTCTAAACACAAATTATTCTGACACAAATTTATGTATCATAATAGCGTATTACAGACAAGCAAAGCAAGCATTTTCGCAGGAAACAAATTGTAAACACAAGTACAGTACTGAATACGCTGACAGCATAAACCAATTCCTTGGAATGACAATGCACCATATAATGTGTTAAATATTATAGGTTATAATGATGATGAATATCATACACAAATAAAGGGAGAAATGTACAACGATGTACAAAATTGCAGTTAAACAGACAAA